CCGCCTGATGGCTCCGGCAAACCCGCCGCTGCTTGGGCCTCCGTGCGCCGCAGGCGGCCTCGGGGCAGCTCTCCAGCAAACCAGCCGGCCAAAAAGGCGAGGTCGTCTAAGCGCCATCCTTGCTTTCCACGTTTTAGTGAGCCTAAAAGGAAATCCAGAGTAACATCTTATACATTCCCCTTGCGCGCTGGAAGAAAATCCAACCCCAAGCGTACAAAAAGCTTGACCATTTTATTATATTGCATGTAATAAAGAAAAGATTAACCTTTTATTCCAGGAAAGATCCCTCATTTGTTATTTAATTAGTTTTCACTAATTAATTAGAATTTTTTAAGCTCCCCTGTCTCTCTGGGAGAAAGTGGCTTAGGTCCCTCCCTTTTTCTTCTTTTCTTTTGCTGCTCCTCTTCTTCCTTCTGCTTCCTTTCAAAGTCCTAATCCCATTTTTGTATCCTCAGTATTGCACTCCCTCATTCTCTCTTTGTCTGAGAGTTTTCTTAGCTTTGCACTTGCTGGGAACAAAGTTGGACTGGAATTTACAGAATATTTTTTGAGGCAACTCTTTATTGAAGGCCAGATCATACAAACCCACAGGACAAACTGAAGGAAAAGGAATTTCCCTGCAGATCCCCTTGCAGAATTTCACCCTTTATATTTCACTGGGGGGGGAGGGGTGTGGTGTGAAAAATATCTAGTGCTCCATTAAGCAAGCTACTGTGAGAGCACAGATTCGGGTTTTGGGGGGTTTTTTGTTTGTTTTCTATTTATTTTTACGTAGAGTATGGCTCTACTTTCCATTTTACTTTGTTGAAGGTAAGAATCCAAATTTAATCCCAGTTCACAGACAGCTGGTGTCTTCTCAACTTTATTATTGAAAAATTACTTGCACTGGAAATGAAGACGAATGTGAGTTATTTACTCCTAAAGGATTGAATCCTGAAACATTATAACTTTCCCGTTACTGGGTCCCTTGGCTTAGCTTCTACGTTTCACTTAAAGACATGTCAAGCTGAGTGGCATGTTTTCAAATCCCTATTAAACTGAACCAGTTATAGTTTCTTTCATACACAACAACTTTCATTGTTAATTTAGAGAACAGGCTGGTTAGTCTTAAAGGTTCATATTTTTCCAGTACCAGATCAGTGGCTTAGCAGACCATTCCCTTACCTTTGGCAATCAGGTAACATTCCTAGGGCAACTACGCCAACTACACATACAGAAAAAGCGAGTTTAGAAGAAAGCGTATGGTATCCCTATGTCACTAGAAGCTCACATTAGCGGCTAGATTCTGCCTTGAGAGCCAGACAACTCGCAAATGATTCATGACGACAGTTTAAGAGCAATTTGACTGCATAATATGGAACACTTACTTACCTTTTGAGCATGCTGGTACTTCTGGCAATTTTAGTGAACTTTGACAGGAAGTCAAGATATGGCACAGTAACTTTGCCAATATTTGGGATCTGCATTTCAGTATACATAGATGAGTCCTACAGTGATATCAGATTTTTTAAATACTTCATTTGCATTACTCATTCTTTTCTTAAACAGCAAAAATAAATTTATCTTATAATTTTGTTTTTGTGTCTTATGCATTACTACTACTCGGCAACTTGTCTAGAATTAAGCAGAGCGTTAATTTAATATCTGGTAAATCCCTCCCAAAAAGTTACAGCCTACAAGTCTTTCCATCACGTAAGATAAAGATTTCTCAACTCTCTAGCTCTATGATCTTTCACATGTATATATGAAAGTGTATTCATTCTCATCAGCCTCACTGATGCATCCTTCTCTCGTTCCAAAAGACTATTTAATGTGTTTCAGGTGTATACGTGTCCCCCTAATGACAATTTAGTATTAGCAAAGAAATTAACATCAATCTTAGCTGAAATGGGCTTAACCCGTTACAGACTGATTAGTTTGAAATGCAAACGTAATAGATCAGTTCACCCAAATTAAACAAACAAACAAGAGTCAAGTACATTACAAAAAAAATATATATAAAACTTAGTCACCTACACTTTCAGGACAGAAATTTAAGTGTACAATAATGCTGGTGCAGATTGTGCATCAGAATCCTCCCCTGTTTTTGATAAGCATCAGTCATGATATCGTATAAACACCCAATGATCCTTCAAGTCCAATCTGATGATGGTTTATAAGGTAGTAAATACAAAAGCGAGCCGAGAAACTCCCCGTGCAGACAAAAAACAGCTGCTCTCTGACTCAAGAGTTCACAACCTAATCTATGCATATTCATAACATCGCATGTATATGAATTTAAGCTGTGAGATCTTTTTTCTTTTTTTAAATAAAAAAATCTGCTAGTAAATTGCAACTCTTTCAAACAGTGAGACACACTACACAGACAAAATCCTCATATAAACATAACAATCATCAAATTTAGCTCACATTACTTTTGCAAGTTTTCTATGACTTTCACCTGAACAGAAGATTTTGACCATGTCTAGCATCTTTTTGATAATATTGGCCTGGAACCTGCTCCCATTGAAATTTTGCTCTTGACATAAATAGGAACAGCCTCTAAATGATTATAAACAGCAATGACGTAGCATACCTCTGCCAGCACAGCATCAAATTCAGCTTCTGTTAGATGGAAGAGAAAGGTTTCAATCACTCTCCTGAATTCACCCTTTGTGACTGTCAGGGTCTGACCAACATCAAGCATCTGAAATGCTTTTTTCAGTTCATCTTCTTTTTCAGCTGTCTTTTGAAGTAAGATCTGCCCAATGTCCCAGGAGAATAATGTGGGATCTGGGACAGAGCTCACAGGCGTAGCTGTAATATATATTAGGCAGTCATCAGATACTCCAAAAGTCTGACAAAATCACATATTTTTTGAGAATTCAATACAAATCAGTTTATTTCTAGAAATGTATAAGTAAATCAGTTATGTTTGTCCACTGATTTGAAAACAATAAATAACCAAACACAATTGTAAGTATTTAAATAAAAAATTCCGGGGTTTCTCTTTCTGCTACTGCAGCCAAAACAGTAAGTCGGAATATACACTTACGTTTTAAAAGTTAAAAAACAATAAATAAAGTTACAGCGCATAGATGTGTTCCATGACAGCAGCCCTCCCACTTCAAACTACAGAGGGGATCTTTTTGCCCTGTAAAATTTAGAGACTTTATTCAGTTATTGAGCTTTGGGTAGAGATATCATGTAGTAGTGGGGTCAACATTCATTGCCTGTATATGGAGCCTATGGCCGGTAAGTATTTTAGCGCCTGCCAGCCCCTTTCCCGCTAAAACCACAGCCAGCAGTGGAGAGTGGAAGCACCTGACAGTGCAATATAGTGTACAGGGATGCCTTATATTACTTAAGACACCTCTGGCTCTCATTAGACTTGAATAAGAACTAAACAAGGACCAAAAGATTTGGCCTGACATTTCTTTTGGATTCATGGTGAGCCAAATTCAGCCACAGCTATGAGCATTTACTTACTTTCTGCTTGAATCAAAGGAGGTTTTCTACACAAATCTGAACACTGGGGCTAGTTTGTAGGCACTTAAGTTTTTTCCAAACTTTAATCTAGGATCTGCTCTTAACCAAAATGCAACTGCCTTCAGAAGAAGCTTTGTTTACAAAAAGCAAGATGGCAAAATACAGCTTTTTGTTATTTACAGCTTTGCTGCAGTTTTATGAGAGCCAAATTTTTTCTTATCCTCATCCCTTCCTTACAATGAAAGTATACAATCATGGACGCCTTGCACATTTCATTTCAACTTCAAGCCATTCCAACAAAAGAAAGCATTCAAATTCACAGCTGGATACAGCTTCGGTGAAATCAATAGAGCTGTCACAGCTTAGTCCTACAATGACCCTAAATCTAAAACTACATGGCAAGGAGAGGAAGAAAAGTGACATGAACCGTGATGGAGGAAGCCTCACATGATAATAATTAAAAATTACTTGCAAGAGGAATGTCCACATTGGGATTAACAGCAAATTCATACTTGATTGGAACAAACTATAAATCTTACTGCTCCAGAAAATGAGCTTTCTGTGGTAAGTGTATAGTCATTTCAAATGAGTTCCCCAAGGATAAGATGTATATCAAATCTGGTAATGTGTTATAATTGGAAACAGTGATCTTGTAATGACTTCAGAACAGAAGTGAGACAGCGGTCCAAAGAAAGCATCTCTCTCAAGTTCCAGTGGACTTCAGAGAAGGGAAGAAAATAAAGACCCTGTTTCCTCACGTACAAGCAGGAGGAACAGGAGTTGGGTGAGAAGGGCCACGGCTCCCTCTTCCACCCTCTCTCCATCAGTAGAACTAGATCGATTTTCTTCATGTCCACAGGATCCAGCAAACATGGTGTATCTGTGACAGACGACTTCTCTCAAAGTAGTGAGGGAAATGTGCCCCAAACCCTAAATAGCACAAGGGCTCCTTGGCCGCTGCAACTTGCTACGCTGAAAGGCACCACTGAATGCCAGGCAAACAATAGGACAGAAAGGACTGAGAGGATGATGCCACCTGCAAGTTACACAGTGCTTGTCCTCTGAGCAATAGAAGGATTTTGATTTAAAGTCCCAAGACTGTGAACAATTAGACTTCAGTACAAACCTGCAGCCGATTTAATTGAGTGCCGCCTGCCGCCACACAATGACGCTCTGTTTTGTGTAGAAGGAAGTCCTGGGGTAAATGTGATGGCTTGAGAGGAGGGGTGCAAGGCACTGAGGTCTTCTGCAGTTGTCGCTCTGGCCATGGTCTCCCCTGGGTTTAAAACAGGGTTATGAGAATACACCAGAATATAGGACACGAAAAGAAGCAGTGTGGCTGGCAACAGCGACAAGAGAGACAAAAACTGATTTCTTGACACAAGATCTAATTTACTGCCGAAAATATTGACTGAGAGAGTTCTTGCTGACTAGCAGTGACCAGATGAGAGGAGTTCACAATTTCTGTGGTTGTGCTGGATACTATCTCCTACGTCAGCACTTTCAGATACACAGTTTAGAGTAGGAGATTAGAGTGGTAGACTAACTCCTTTACCAAATAACACAGAATTATCTCTGAAAATGTTTCTGGCCATTATCTTGAAGGCTATGCACATTAAAGTACTCTAAAAAGCTTTAAAAACACAACCTTTTCGTTAAGAAAGCCTGCTATTTTATTAAGCAGTACAGTTGCTTAGATGTTTGTTTAGACTTTTAGGCTTTTGCAGGAGAAAAATGCATGTACCAGACATCAGCTCATTACACTAATTACTCTGTTTTATGACGAGCTATTATTAATTTTGCACACCAGGAAATCTGAGGCAAACTATACTGTAAGTATAAACAGGAGAGCTAACTGGGAAAATAACAATCAGACAGAGATAGTATTGCACGGCATATGCAACAGTTTCGTAAGTGTGGCTCACTGGTGACCCGCTAAGCAATGTTAAACGGTCTGCATCTGCTCTGTGCAACCGTACAGCTTGAACAGCGCCTGCGATTGCAAACACCATTATGCGAGCTCCCGGTAGGAAAGCTGAGAGCCGACGATGCTCTACCACGCAAAACTTTGGGAGATGCCGCCCTGGGGCTTATTCAGGTGTGGTGAGGCATTTGTCTTTGCCCATGTGGAACGTGTTTTGAGTGCTAAATAAAATAAGGGTGATCCAGGTGATGGTGCTATCACCCAATCTTTTCCATGCTGTTTTACAGTCATTAGTCACAAAAATACTTTCAAATATTGGCAGTCTTATGCACTGGACCACAGGGTAATTCTATTGATACTTATGTAGTTAACCCAATCAGACACTTCAAAGAAAATATTTTAAAAGGCCCTGTTTCCTCTATTACAAATGTAATTCAAAATTAGAAATTCGGTTTCTCCCCAAACTGAGTGGCAATCAGAGAGTATAATATATTTCCTCCTCTCTCTGATATGTGCCAATCAATTGCACCTTGCTCCTGCCATTCAGTTACCACAGTACAGAAAGCAAATGTTAGCACAGGGAATTCTATGAGTTCTGTAGCCTTCTGAAAATCCAGCATGCTATGTACAAATGACAAAAGCCACATAAGGAGGCTCAGTCAACTCTCTGTAAAGGGAGATGAGAAGTAAAAATAAAGCAGACATTGCACGGCCAAGTGAAAAACGGGGACAAGAGCAAGACTCCCTAGTCCTCTAGCAAAAATGCAGCACTGTGCAGCATTTTACACAGGTAGAAAAGCCCTTCTGCCACACACCCCCCCCAAAAAAAAACCAACCAAAAACATCCAAAATGAATAAACAAACAAAACCACTACAGTTCAAATGCTTCAAGGTTTCATTACCTAGCTCAGTGCTTTGGACTACTAGGGAGAAGGGGGGTGGCGGGGGGGGAAGGAAAGGAAGAGAAAACACCACCTGACTGACAGCTTAAGCAATCTTATCTTCACGTTATCAAACAGAAATTAAGCAGATCTGAGTAACCATCCACACTGCTTAACGTGCAGCAAATTAAGCAGTTGCTGTGTACTGTCACTAGGCACTAATCTTCATCCTCTGTACACTCAAATTGTTAGAATAATCTCTGATTGGGTTTTGACCCAAGCTTGGGTCAAGCAGCTTCTTGGGCACATCTCGAGAGTTAGCTTGGTCAGGAACCATTCCCAATGGGCAGTTTGCGTGCAGCCATCCTGTTTCAAAGGGTGAGAACTGTTTAACAGTCTGGACATGGGCTATTCCATGCCAGTTCACCTCGGTGCCAAGAAACAGTCACAAGCACACTTAATTTACTAGCATAGCCCATCTACAGCAGTAACCCCTGGCAGATGTCCTAGCTCTGTAGCCATCCATTAAAAGAAATTAGCCTCCAAGCATTCTTTCTCCACCATTCAGGTGGAAAACAACCTTTTCTTCTTCATCTGATACACGGCTAAGCGTCATCATTACTACAGTCACTTGGCCGATACACTTGCAGTGGCACCCGTGTGAGTTTGGCTCCCTAGAAACCATAAACAGGGAGGGTCCATTTCTCAGAGGCCAAGAGCTCAAATGAGCGGGTTCTGGCTGCAAGATCTACCCCATCATAAATATGGGCAGAAAATAAGTGGTTTTGAAACAAACAAACGCAAGCCAATTCTGGCGTTGCCTCCTCAGGCACCACCAAGCTCTATCTCAGGTATTGGGGGTTTGATACTAACGAGGCTGTGCCAGCTATTTGTACCATGCCCAAGCCAGAGGGAAATTCATGGACTCTTCAACGCTGCTCTGCCCTTTTTACAGGTTCAGCAACCATATTTAAATCAATTTGTTAGCAAAAGGACCGCTCAAACAGCCAAGGCAGCAACAGCTACGTGGCTCAGTAACTAGGCTACAGCAAAAATATGGTAAGTAGAAGCACATCCCGCTGCTGCTGAAGTCATTAGCAAAGCTTTCTTTGACTTCAGAAAGTCAGGACGGAGCCCTAAACTACTCTTGTAAAAACCAAATGCAAATGGTATTTTTCTGGACCCCTAGACATTTTCTGGTGGAAGTATATGTCCATCTGGTCTACTAACAGTCAGCTTGCCTTTCTTAGCTACCTTTCACAGACCCTTCAGAAATAGTCCATGGTCCATAAGAAGTCCATATACTGAAAGTCAAAGATTACCGATACAGAGCAATCAAATTTAAAGTTTCATAAGATACTGAGCCTATATTCTCTTCTCACTCATGCTGCCTTTGCACCTGCAAAATATCAGTGCATGAATCAAGAATAACTTACCTGCACTGAATAGCTCCTGATTTATATGTTACTTGGAATTCACGCTGGCGCATAAAAGGTCATAAATCAGATCCATTGCTTATATTTTTAAGTACACTCCTACTAGTATGAGGGCAAGATCCTCAGTTACCATAAATCAGAACTTGCTTGCTTTCCTATCTTCAGGAGAATTACAGCATTTATAGCCACTGAGGGATTTGGCCCTCATTTCTTCTCATTTCAATAATTTAATTGATAAGAGTTTCCCAAGTGTCTACATACCAAGTTCCTGCATCTGAGGCTGTTTCACTATAGTTACAAGACGGATGGATCTTGCAAATGGTATAAGCATATTTCTGGCCAGTTTAGATAGAAATGTAGAAGGCAGATTCTAACAGAATAACGAGGATCTGTTACAGTGTTTCAGTCAGAACCATGGGACCACATCCTTTTCTTTTCTTGGAAGGATAAATGAAGCTTTAGAATAGAATGCTGTTTCTATTTGTTTCTGAAAGCTTCACTATGTTGCGTTTGGCAAGACAGATAGCAAGTCTCACCTTCATTTTCTCTTAGGTCTTTTTTTTTTTTTTTAAAGCCTAACACTTTTTATTTTATGTAACCTAAAGTAAAAGGATCACTGTAACCTTGTCCTTTATTTCTTTTTATTCCCCTTGAAAGAGTGCCAGTCTCTGCAATTGTCAGAGAACAATTAAGGCTATGAAATCCCCCATGCAGATCAAGGGTGAACAGTTTGTGGCTCTAGCACAATTTGTTGTTCTCATGATGGGGTTATAGCAAACAACCGGCAGCAGAGCCACATCAGACTATAAGCTCCTGTGTGATCTGAAACGGGCTACCAGAGGCTTCCACGGTGTGGTGGGTTGACCTGGGCTGGCTGCCAAATGCCCACGCAGCTGTTCTCTCACTCCCTCTCCTGAGCAGGACAGGGGGAAAAAATAATATGGAAAAGCTCATAGGTTGAGATAAAGACAGATAACGCATCAGTTACCACCACAGGCAAAACAGACTCAATCCTGGGGAAAATTAATTTCATTTATTGCCAATTAAAAATAGAATAGGATGGTGAGAAACAAAGACAAAGAACATAAAACACCTTCCCCCCACCCTCCCCTTCTTCCCAGGCTCAACTTCACTCCTTCATTCCCAACTCTTCTACTTCTCCCCTGAAGCGTTGCAGGGGGATGCAGAATGGCGGATGCAGTCAGTCCGTAACAGTTCCTCTCTGCCACTCCTTCCTCCTCACGCTTTTCCTCTGCTTCACTGTGGGTCCTTCCCACAGGCTACAGTCCTTCATGAACTGCTCCTGCATGGGCTTTCCACAGACTGCAGCTTCCTTCAGGGCATGCCCACCTGCTCTGATGCGGGGTCCTCTGCAGGGTGCAGTATGGATACCTGCTCCACCGTGATCCGCTCCATGCACTGCAGGGGAATGCCTGCTTCACTGTGGTCTCCTCCAGGGGCTGCAGGGGAAACTCTGCTCCAGCACCCAGAGCAACTCCTCTTCCCCTCTTTTTTTTCAGACTTTGGTGTCTGCAGGACAGTTTCTCATGCTTCTGTCTTTCCCCTCACTCCTCTCTCTCTCACATACAGCTGTGCTGTATTTTTACCCTTTTTGAAATAGGCCTTCACAGACGCACCACAGCTGATGGGCTCACCCGTGCCCTGCAGTGGGTCCCGCTGGAGCCGGCTGGAAGCAGCCGTGTCTGGCACATGGTGGCCCCTGACCTATTCTCACAGAGGCTGCCCCTGCAGCCCCCCACTACCAACACCTTGACACCTACAGCCAATACACAGGGCAAGTCACCCTGAGATCCAAATGGTGGGTGAAGCAGGGGCTTCCTGGGAAGTCAGTGTTACCTCCCAACTCTTCCTGGAGCTCCTTGTCTCTGAGGCATGCAGCATCTTCGCCAGTGTTTGTTAGCCATAGGCAAAATTCCGGTGTGCAAATCACAGACTATCCATTGTGAAGATGATGTCTTCTCATTGCCTTCCTTTTCTTACCTCCCTAACTCCAGTTATGAAATCCT